AAGGCAAACAGCTTCATTGTACATGTACAATGACAGCAAAGATATTCTATCCCATATGCATATTTACTCTGACACGCTGAAATACATGAGCACAAATAATTGCAGGCAGGCCGGATCTGAAATCCTCCGTTCTCCTCCTCACCCTGAATGCCCCACCAGATGTTAATTGGAGCACCGAAGCGCTGATTACTACCAGGCCCCGATTCATTGTGGTGGACAGGGACTTATCTGGCCTCCAGCCGGACTTCCAGGAGTGAGAGGGAGTCCCAGCGGGAGGGGAAAGCCGCACGCAAACTCGAATCCTCTGCAGCTTCCACTTTCCTGTGAATCTTCCCCTTTTCCGGCAGCCAAAGGTCAAGGCGCCGGACTGGGTGGCATGAGTCAGCAGGCGAGGGAGTGGTGGCTGATGGTAAAATGGTTAGTCACCCTTTCCCTACCTGTGGGACCAAGGCACGGGAGGGGGGATGGCCCCCCTCCCCCCTTCCACTCCAGCTTCCCAGAAGCACGGAGCCTGGGGCTGTTGGAGTGATGTATGCAAGACAGACTGTAATGAGGTCGAGTGAGAGGAGAGATGGACTCTCTCAGGCATTACGCACCATTTCAAAATCAGGACAGGTACACGGGCTTGGCCCCCACCCACCTGTCTGACCTGGGACTCCCTCTTTAGTAATAGTATCTGCAAATACGTAACATCAGCACACATTGGAGTATTTTACAGCATAGAAATACATGTCCTTGCTTGCTTTTCCGATGCAAGACTGGGGTGATTCTAGGATTTGACCCTTAGAGGGCTCAACTCCCCTCCCCACCACCATTAAATTGGCTGAGCTAGGGTGGGGGTCCTCCACGATAAAGTTTTCTAAGCTGGGGTATTACTAAATTGCTACAAAAATACGGAATAGACCGGCAAATAGTATTAGGAAAAATATTTGAAGGGGTGCTGAAGTGCCATAATTAGGGTCTAGAACCGGCTATATGCTGTAGGCACTGTCCCGACCTGAAGGGGGTGCTCATGCATGCGCTGCGTGTACGCTAGCCTGCCGGAAGCCTCCGAGGTCAGTGGTGGCGGATTGTATGTTCCTCCGAGGGGGCTGCCGCTCTGGCAGGAAGCCGGGCCTGTCCTGTCCCCCTCGCCTTGACGACCACCCTCACTTTCCTTTGTCCTCGCCCGAGTCCCACCTCCTATCCCTCCGAGCACTCGAGTGGCTCCATTGTGTGAGTGGCAGCGACGGTGGGGCCGGCCGTGGCCGCACTCGAGAGCCACTCAGCCTGGCCTTCTCTGCCGCGGCCCTACGTGGGGCGCTCTCCCCCCCGCCCCCGCCCTCGGCTGCCCCCTTCTCCCACACCCCCGCTGCCCCCTTCAGCTGAATGGGCTTCCAGATTCCCATGGATGTGAGTCTAGCCCTTGGCCTACGACATGCACCCCCCCCCCCCCCCCCCCATCGCTAACGCTCACCACTCGCCGCCCCCCCCCTTCCCGAACCATCGCTCTTCAATGGGGATTAGCGAGAGCGAGGACCCGGCACCTAGCCGCAAGAGCGCTTGTTTTGTGTCCGTCTAATCAGTTTCACAAGCACCCCCTCGTTCAAAACATGATAATAAATTAAGACATAGGAGGAACTTTGGGGGGGTTGGCCAGAGCCCACTCATCTAGTCATTGTCTCTCACATCGTTTTGACCCCTCCCCCATCCTGGCCAATCAAGTGGAAGAAGAGAAAATTGTGGATGCTTTGCATAATTAAAGTGGTGTGCGGGGTGGGGGGGGTTAAAAAACAAAAAAGAAAAATGTTTTTAGTAAGAGCAGAAACTCATGCAGAAATCAGCCTGCATGTCAATAAATTACTAAATGCCAAAAACATCCTGACATCAATCACCATTTTATATTACTATGTGGAAAAACGGGGAGCAATTAAATAAATAAATAAACAAATATAACTCCCTTCAGTCAGACCCCGCCCATCTCTTGTTCCGGTGCTGTGTAACATAGTTCGACATGTAAGACGCCTCGTCGCCTGCCAGAACCTCAGCCAATGAGAAATAATTCCAGCCCATCCAATCAGAAGGCCCGTTGCGACGCCAAAAGCATGCAAGTGAGCCGCTTATGACTAAGAGAGCAGACCGACTAACGCCCACTGCGATTCCCACCGCTGGATTAGCCAGCTACACTTAATCCTTTCTAAATGCACTGGTAAGCAGAGGGCTGGCTTCTGGAACTGCTTTTATTTCACCAAACTGCTCTATGGGATTTTCCGTGGGCAATTACGACTTTATGGATATGTATATCTGGTTGGGTTTTACATTTCATAAATGACTGTTGCTTATGGAGGCCTGAGTCTCAGTGCTGACAGCCGCTCCTGCATTTGGGCAGTGCTGGAGTCCTTCGCCCATGGGTTTAGGGCTTTTTCTAAGTGCTTGCTGTGGACCAATAAAACCCAGTAAGAGGACTGTTCCGCCCTCAAACCCTGATATATGGTGGAGCGCAGGTTGTGGACCGGTCCAGGACTGGCTCGGGGTTTGGGACGAATCAATCACCACATTATGCTCATGAAGAGTGCTTCCAGGGGAAAAAACCCGCGATACTGCTACCAGCGAGGCTGCCAGGGGCTTGGAGGAGAGGACGTGAGAAAGCCAGCGTCCCCAGCGCAGAGCAGAAGTGCGATCGATGACAGAGCAGACACCCAAGAAAGACAGTGAAAAACGTATGACGAGTCACTGCCCATTGTTGGGGTGGGCATTTTAAGCTGTCGGTTGGGCCCCAATTTTAGCCTAGCAGCCCCCGCCCCCCAGAAATGAGCTGTGTGGGGTTGGGGGTAGGATAGAAGGCACAGAACCACTGCATTACCCCAGTGACGTCTGGCAGAGAGAGACAATGCTGGAGGGCACAGCCAGGCCCTGGTGATGGTTAACCTCTGCAGAAGCAAAACCACTGAGGTATCCTTCAAAAACAGACAGAAGATGGAACAAATTGCAGATTAAAACGCAGAGAGAAAGAGAGATGTGCCAGTGCGGTTTCCACTCTGATTTTCATTTTGACATTGCGCAGTTGGACTGAGCTCGAGGTCGTTAGCACAATGAGGCCGAGTGGGATGGGGAGGGGCCACAGAGCTGGAGAAACTCATCTAATTAATTCACCAGAAAATTAATTACGGCAGGATTTTCCAACGCCCCCCCCCCCATCACCTCACATCCTCCAAATGGCTAAAGAATGGCACAAAAAGATCAGGAGGAGAGAAGGGAGAAAAGGAGAATGGAGATAAGTGAAATGGCTCACTTCCCAACACCTCTGGGAGCTCCTGGGTGCAAACGGTCACCTTCTGGTCGGCACACTGATTCATTGTTTGCCTTCGGGTTTCTTTGACCGGTCCTTTTATAAAGAGCCTATAGATGTGTTCTGGAAAGTATAAACCCATCAGCAGCTTATGGAGGACTCTGGGTGTGCCACTTGAATAGGTACATTCCCAGTTGCCCACAACTCTGCCCAGGATTAACGGTTGCAAGATGGATGGACGGATACTCCCAACTGTTAAGCAGATAGAGTGGTACATGTTTTAAAAGCTCCCAAGTTCTCTACAGCAGATCTCTGAATCTTACAAACAAACAAACAAATGAATGACCACATTACAGGATTGCAGTTATTACGGTAATTGCAATAGCACCGGGGGCAGCATGTTCTGTCATACAGGGACAGTCCCAAAGCCATTTGCTGACTTCCCTCTTCAGGATAAATTTCCCAGGCCTCCTCCCCAAAAAACATAAAACCAACAGCTCCCGCACTCATCACTGAGAGCTGCCAAATCCTGCCCATGGCTAACTCGAGCAACTTGTACAGTTGTCGGGGCAACCCTTCACCCGCAAAAGAGGAAGGGGCAGGCGTGATTTCATTCTCCGGGAACCCCGAGCCAATCAAATCGCCGGGAAATGATGTCACCTTTCCTCGAGCCCGTCCATTCAGAGCTATAGAAGTGCAGCGAATTGAAAGCTGTGAAGGGGGTCATCTTTCCCTTGGTGATGTGTGAGAAAAAGAGGACAGGAGAAGCAGGCAGAGGGGGGGAATTGGGGGCATATAGAGGACATGCAAATACCACAGACCGGGGTCAGAGCCATCAAAATGCCACTGGGTCGGTACATTTCTCCCCTCTGGTAAACAACAACAGCTTCCCAAAAAAATCTTGCATATTATTCCAGATCTTACAAACAAGTCCCAGGGTTGTTGCTGGCAGGATTACAGGGTTGATCAAGCTTTGCTCTGCTTCTCTGTGCCTCGCCAAGATGAGAGAGATGACGACCTCGAATCCTCCCAGCAGAAGCACGCACAAACCCCACGTGAGGCCAGCCATGTTCGACAAGGCCGTACCCGCTGCACCCAACCAGGAAACGACCAGTTCCTTTAAGGGTTAGGTCAGAAAAGGGGGAAAGGTTATATTTACGCACTTAGGTCTCGCATGGCTTAGGAATGTCAGTTTTCCATAGGCCGTATATTGGATTGTCTTTCTACTCTGACTTACTCATCAAGTACGCCATGCTCACCCAATGAGTTACGGACAAGTATCTGGGCGTGGCCAGCCCACATCCATTGTGCCACAAGCGGAAAGTGCCAGAAGGCAGGCTGGCATGCTTGGTAGGGTTAACAGGAATCAAATATATACCTGGTGCATGCCAGGTGGAGCGGGCAGGTGCGAGGGAATTTACACGGGTGTGTGTGTGTCATTACCACTTTTAGCCCAGGCCTCTGACCTGTGCCGTGGCCCATAGAGACAGGAGACAGCCCAGCTAAACCAGTCCTACCTGCTCACGTTCACATTTGCTCAGAAGACTGGTATCAAGTTTTGCTGATGATAGCCCTTATTATAGATTACAGTCAAGTATGATGCAACTGCAGATAAAATCCTGACTCATACATGTTAATGCCGTCAACCTTCCAAGTGTGGTTCAGCTATGTGGAGGAACATTGTGGAAGAAAATCGAGAAGAATCAAGAAAAATGCTCTGACATTCCAAGGGTGATGTATCACACTTTTTTAATGCAAAAAAATTTTGCATTTACAGGCTGGATAAAAGTCACTGCAGAAACCAGTTCTGCCTGAAAGAGGAACAGGATATGCCCTGAGGCACGGACACCTGAGAACTGGGTGTCTAAAAGAACTCCCACTTTCCCTAGCTTGCTGGTGTCAGTCCTTCATATCTGGAAATGTTGAAGTCCATCATGCTTTCACTCCTAAAGAAGTCTGCTCCGTCTGCCAGTGAGCCCATCCAAACCAAAATGACACCAAAATGGTCTTCTGAGTCAACTGCAACTCCATAGTCCATAGGTTCCTGATTGTACTTTACAAGATTGTGGCCGGGCTGATTTTATACAATTCCCAGGGGATCCCAAATGATAGTGAGTGCCAGGTAAGCAGCGTGAACGGCTGCTTAACAATATTGATTTATAGATTGTCAGAAAAAATCCATTCCGATTCATTCCCTGAATATTTTGGGGTATATCGTAAAAATAGGGACCCAGTAAAAAGTCAATGGCTAGTGAGCATTAGGTCCTACCGGACCCTTGAAGTCCTCCATTTGTGGTACTGGACGCTGAATTCTGGTACCGAGCCTGCTTCCTCCCGTCCCGGGGCAAGGCCCGGGCCTCCTGCCACTTTTAGTAAAAGAGGTCCGGTAGCATTTAAGGTCATCATCTCCAGCATCTGACAAAATCATCGCGGCTCCATAAACCTCTACTCTGAAATGCCAGACAAATCAGGGAAAAAAAAATATATACATGCATATCACAAAAGCAGCAGAGTCCATTTTTAGCTGAAGTCTGACTGGCTGGGACCTGGTGCTTGCTGGTTGCTGGGGAAGGCTGAAGGTCACGGTGGCTGTGGGATTTGGCGGTTTATTGTCTGGGAATGAGGGCTACAGTACCGGGACTCTGCGGCAGCACTCGCCGTGTTGGGTTACTCCCCAGGGCCGACGGGGCTTCGCTCCCACACTCCTCGTCTTCCATGGAGCGCTCCGCTGTGCCCGAGCTTGGGCATCGAGGTGGGGGGGGGGGGCGAGTCAGCGCAGGTGGTCTGTTTACCGGCAGCACCCGTAACTCCAGGTGGCTCTCTCTCGGGCTTGGGAACAGGGCGTGACGCCGCCCCCGCCGGCGAAAGATGTGATGGCGGCTGCCCCCGGGCGGAGGAAGGACGTGTCGGGGAGATCTGTCTGCGCTATGTTCCCCGGAGAGCAGACGTGCGGTACCTGCCAGGCATCACGTTCCCCTGCTGCCCCGCCCGCCTGCAGCTTGCCATCTCAGGCCCCAACCTGCCCCCTGGCCCCCTGAGGGCCCATGCTTGTCTCTTCATCGCCGTGACTCTTCGTCTGCTAGGCTCGTCCCCCCCACGGCCTGCCTCTTGCCACTGCATGATAGAGAGATAACATGGGGGTACTGAGGAAACGGACGCCCAGTGTTGGAGAACGGGGCCTTATCCCGGTCTGCTAAACCTCCACCAAAATAGGCCTCCTGACACCTCAAACCATGGAGCCCAGATACCTTCACAGCATCATCAAGGAAGCAGTGACAGGCAATTACAAAATAATTACCTACAAATAATTTTATGCACACCTTTAATCCTTGACAAATAAAAGCATGAATATTTTTTTTCAAAAAGGTACACTTGAGTTTTCAAAAGCAAACAGTGCAGTGGTTTTTATGCCCCCCTCCCCCCAAGGGTGCCCCCTCCTCATTCGACGCGGTCCATGGCTCAAACAAAAATGATGCTGGAAGTGACAGAAATTCACACATTTAAAACTGACAACAAGTACAAGACACGTAACACCCTCTATACAGATACTCATATCGATCTTTCTGTCCATGCTAGCTGTGGTTCCTTTTGGTTTAGTCAAGCATATTTCATTTATTACAATATATATATATATATATATACACACACACACACAGACAGTCTGACGCTTTAAGACCTGCGGATGACCTCATGCCAGCGGCTGAACTGCTGCACTGAAGCGATGAAATGCCTTAGTTTATTCTGGTCAATGGACCGAGAAACGTACATGAGAAATGAAGGGGGTCATGGTAGAGCGGGGGGTGGGGGGCGGAAAATCAAGGCATTTGTTTATGATATATGCCAGGAGGCAGCGAGATTAGACTGTTCTTGAAGTGATATCTGTGCAAAGCTAAGCGCTTCACCAGCAGCCATGCCTGGAATTACGTAAGAGACCGAATTGCGTTCTCCCCCCGTTCTCAAAGACGAATATACATACACACATATCAGACTGCAGCCCGCGCACGTCTCACTTCTCAGAGACCCCTTTGTTTTACGTTTCGGTCAGATATCGCACATAAACACAGACGGTAGCTCAAATGCGCTCAGATGCGAGATAACTGCAGATCTATATCACACATCAACAGGATTCCATACTGAGCGCCTTGTACTCGTGGAGGCTCCTCCCAATTCTTACCTGCCAATCATGGCCGTTTCCCTAACAGCCAATCACATCTCAGCACTCCGAGGGGTGGCGACATCTAGGGGGAGAGAAAAAGACAAACATTTAAATTTGTGGGATTTTTAATAGGACAAAAAGTAGAAGCCAGAAATTAGAGAGTAACAGTCACAGGAGGAGATCCCACAGGAGGTCTTGTGGGATCTCCCGTTGTCTACAGAGATTTAAACTCGATCTAAGTGGCACAGAAGGAATGTTAAATAAAGCAAATTCAGATGTTTCTCTGATTCGACCAGACTGAAATTTAAAGACAGCATCTGAATTTATCGGCTAAATAAATCGCTGTAGTTCTGAGCAAGATAATTCCCAAAAACGGATATAGAAAATATTCAAGTGTCACATTAAGTCAAATCTAAAGCAGTGATTGGCAACTGGTGATAAAAGTTTTTCTTTTTTTAAACCACAGTACAAGAAAAAGCAGCAGCTGCGATTTTATCTTGGTCCGAAGCTGATGACTTATCCTCAATGTAAACCGAATGACGGCATAGCCCTGTTTTCAGAAGACTACCTCCTTAAATACACCTTTGAAGGAGAACACAAGGAAAGGTATGAGAGAAATTTAAAAATAGCAATTAGTGCGTCACACTGGGGAAGACGCAGCGTTTCTCGGCCCTTGCACTTCTCAGGCCGCCTCCACCCTGTCCGAGCACCAAGCCTTCCCCTCTCCCAAGTGTTGTTGCCCTTGGCCGGTTGTCCTGGAGACTAATGCGCCTTCACCAAGGTACAAAAAGCCTAAACTAAAAAACCTACAGCAGAGCTGCCAGATACGGCCCTGTTCCCTGTTTCGCTTGCTGAATAAACATTCTCAGTTCTCTCTATCATTTCTCACAATAATTTTTATATTCTAGAAATTAGAAGATTCTGCATGCCGGATGCGCGTCATGAAAATGACAATGGGGGATGAACACGTTCCCTGCTCATTCCTTTGCCGTATGTCACGTTTCTGTGGCATGGCTAATGTGGACGTTCGATCCATGACGACCCAGTGCCTGATATGAATAATGCAATGTTTCCCAACCCGGTCCTCAGGTCCCACGGACGCTCCATGTTTTTGCTCCCTCCCAGCTCTGAGCAAAGAATGTGAACAGTCTGACGGGGGGGGGGGGGGGGGGGGGGGGGGAGCAGGGTTAGCAATTGCGTATGGGTTAGCATCTGTAACTGCTTCGATCCTATTGAAAGGACCTAGCTGCAGAAAATGAACTATAAAAAAAGATTAACTGATGTATGTGCAAAAATGTCCTTCTGCAACAGCTGCCCCCCCCCCTTCCAACTCATAATCCAAACTCAAGGGCACACAGGCACAACTATGCACCAGTTCCCATTAAACCTGTCACGTGAGGTAAGAATTTCAATCCGGCCAATCAGATTACAGCTTAGAGCTGAAATCGACACTCGCAGCCTGTCACTGGAGCAAGAAATCTAATCTAAATTTCCCATAATTTAGTCAATGCAGTCAAGAAAAGAAAAAAAAAAACTCCTTGGTAAGGAAATGGCTGACAGTGAAATCACATTGCCTTTATTTAAGTATTAAAGTCTGATTCTGTTCATCTTGCCAATTTGAAATCATATCAACACTATACCTTCAAGCACAGTTTTGTAGACAAAAAAACATCTGGTTGGCCATTGTTGGATTATTAAGAAATGGAGGATGCCTGGGACACCTGAGACGAGGTGAGAGGAGCCCAGTGGCTTCCGTACCCTGTAATAAACAAAAGATATGCTGGCTAATAGCTGTGGCTGGACTGCGCATGTATAAATATGTTCATGAAAGCAGGGCAAAGGACAGGGAACGCAACACAGACCCAATCAGTGGTGTGTGGTTCAGTGGGTTAGGATGCTGTGTCTGATCAGAAGGTTGCTGGTTCAAATCCCACGGTCGGTAGTGATTTCACAGTTGGGCCCTTGAGTAAGGCTCTAAACAGCCTTACTGAAAAGCAATTTTTTTGTTGTTTTGGAGATGAGACTAATATCAGCCATCCTCACCATATGTCACCAAAACTCACTCGGCCCTGATGTAATCCGACAAAGAACTTTTCTTACATTTCCCTAAGTTCACAGAAATAGTATTTACTTGTTAACATAATCTGTGGACTGAGTTTTAGAAATCTGTTCTTCAGTTTCTCCAAAGGGCACTTTGAAAATCTTCTGCTAAATAAATATAATGTCATACAAATGTAATAAAAGACTCACTTAATTTTAACAATGACAATCTCTTATTGACCTGGTCTACTATCACTTCAGCAACAAGCGTAAACAGATCTGTCATGCACGTCTGAAACGCCATCGTTTTGGGGAAAGTAAAGAAGTCACACTTCATTAGTAGGTTCCTGTTTTTACAAAGTGATACATCTCCTTCCATGTGTGTAGCGGCCGCAGATCGGAAAATAGGATTACCCGCATTCAATAGCTTTATCGTTTTCGGATTCAGAGCGAACCCAAGAGGACTCAACCTGAAGGAAAATTAAGTGCGGAGGGAATCGGGCAGCCTTTTCCTCTCGTCTCTGTGTAAACAGCGCGAGCGGCTGAAGCAGGCCCAGATTCATCGTGACGTCACAGCCGATTCCGCCGTTTAATCAGAGGCAGATGTTTGGAAAAGGCATCTGAGTTTTAATCCTGCATGAATTTCCACGGACCTCCGATGTAGCCGGCTGCCAACTGGAGGCTCTGCTTTGAATGCAGCGTGGCCAAACACCACGCCGCGTTCAAAATGCGTGCTCGTTAACAGATGCAGCATGGAGGCGCCGCGCAGGTAACCAGCCCGAAGAATGTGCGGAGCAACCAAAACGGAGCACGACTTTGTAGCAGATGCAGGATAAAATCACCGTGCGTCTAGTCAGCTTCCACTGACACACTGCTGCATAGACATGTACTAGTGGTACCAGAAGCATAGCAGGAGCAAAGATACTCTGGCAGATTCAAGCGGCCCAGAACCGTACAGGGGCTCTTGAATTTGAAAAGGAAAAAAAAACATAAAAAAATTATACAAAGTAATAATGCATCACTTATAACTTGAACATGCCCCGTAAAAGACTGATATCCATTTTTTCTGAAATGGAAATAAGTAATCTAAGCACTGTCTAGGGTAATGGAGACCTCTCCCCTCCCCACACTGAACCCCCAAAAGGCGGTTCAACTCGGCAGCATGTTTACAGAGCTAAAGGACGCACTTCCAGACCAGCTACAGCGCTAAGTCGACGAGTCAGCAGTGGATAATGAGTTGCGAAATTTTTCCCTGTTTGTGAAAATGCCACTCTGGCTTTAATTAAAGAAACAGACTCATAATCGTGACTGCTTCTTATGCCCCTTGCCGAAACCAGCCTTAAGAGGGATCCCGTTTGTGTTTGCTGTTGCTTAGTACAATTCACGAGGGCAGCCGGCTAATATAGCATGAGCAAACCAGCAACGTGTGCTGTGATTTGATACAGGTTCAGTGCTAGCTTGCATAGCGACAGTAAATCAACGGTCTCTGCTCTGATTTTCAACACTCTCAACGCTGGTTTTTGCACCGTTTTCTCAAACGACTCAAAAGCTAAAATTATGCTTTGTACCCTCACGCTAAACTAATTTGAATAAACCAGATCGCACTGTGGTTTAGAGTCAAACTAAAATTTGTACATAACTATGATATTATATTCAATTTTCAAAACAGCCATTATATACTGAGAATAGAGCTATTTCTAACAATCATCAGTGCCTCCTCAAACACATTAGGGGCAAACCACTGGCAATAGCTCCATAGCACCATCATTCCTAAAATAAGGACTAAGCACTGATATTTATGATACTGGATATTAGCCAGTCATTGTGTGCCTTTAAATAAATGACCAAGCATAGCTGCAGGACCAAACTGTGATTGGGTGATAAGTATTTATTTATTTTCAGTAGGCTATAGTTATCTGCTTCCTATCCCACTTCCGTGGTTGTGACCCAACATACTATTTACTATACTCATGAATGGAAATAAGCACGCAGCTGTGCCGTCGTCCCTGACAGCACTCGTGCATCAGGGCAGAGACACGCGAAGAAACATCCAGTCACTGTCAGGCAGAAGGAGGCGACTACGGACTGACAAAACATTACCAACGTGAAAGAATCGTGACGGAATCATTGGTCGTGGCTCCAAAACGGTGGTCCTACATCGCAGTGTACTAGAGGTTCAAAGATCAAAGGGCAATGTCATGATCTTGCGACCAAAAAATGTAGTACGACCACGTCACAAAGTGAGTGCTACTGTCACCTACATCTACTAACCAACCCATGTTGGTGACGTTTTATTCTCGTATATTGACTTGCGCCGTAGCCTGCGATTCAGTAGCTGTCATCATCGTACAGTCTACAATAATGTCGTACCCAAGGGTATTAGATCCACGTTGCACAGTACGCCTTATAATAAACTTACGCGATTGCTGAAATCACCCAATCTGTAGCTGGTTTTACAAGATAACACACTGTACTTGTACATTTACTAAAGGTTGTATGTTTGCAAAGCTAACTTGTTTTACCAGTTTGAGTGAGGCTCTTTGCGTATTTTAGGCCAGAGGTCCCAGAACAATTTGGTCACAAGATAATTCCCTGAATATGCTGGAAAAAAATTCAAATCTTTAGCAATCAGTCTGAAAATTTTGCTATCGGGGAAATTTATGGTGGGAGATCCCAGTTGGATTGGGGGGGAAAAAAATGAGTCACAAGACTTGACCACTTCTTTCTGGAGGGGGGTTCTCCTGGCAAAAAGTTTGAGAGCCACACATATTGTCGAAAAGAACCGAACTGCATTATTTCGACGCTCTTCGTCTGTGAGGCTTCAGTAAAATGTCTCCCACTCCATGTCCATTGTCACAAGGTCACAGCACAAGGTCACAGAGGCGTCGCTGGCTGTGTATTGGGGAGTGGTGGCTCTGTCATTCCCCTCCGGAGGCTCACAGAGACGAGCTCTCAGCACCCACCCTGGGATGAGGATATCAGCAGTCATCATATCTGGGGGGGGGGGGGACTTCCCCCAGTTTGGGTTGCAGTGGAGGGGCT